GTGAATAATTAAAGCTGAAAATATGTTGCGATCTAATTTAGACATTTTATTGGTATCATGTCTATGTGGTAACTATAGATATAAAATAATATTAAGTTTTAAAACACTGATTATGGATTTCTTGTTTGTTATGTTTCAGCCAATGTTTGTCTACCGTTTTTGATTCTGCATGTATCTAGGAAATGTGACGTGATACACCTGATTTTACCAGTGAACTCATCAGCATTCCAAAATTAGTAAAATCTTCCCATTTACAGAGCACATGCAGAAAAAAAATTTAATTTGTAGCAAAATTCGAAAAAATTGTCGATCATGTCAAAAATTTATTTCTCAAGAACTAAAAGTGATTTTTCAAAACGGCTTGTTACATTAAAAAGAGGATACTTTAATTAATCATTTAATTAATTTTATAGCGAATTTTGAAAATTTTCGATGAAAATTGCAACATCGAAACTTTTATCAAAACTTCATAATCTATTGTTTTCTCAAAAACTAAAAGTTATTTTTTAAAACGGGTTGGTTCATTGGAAAGAGGACACTCTTATTAACACTTTGGGAAATTTTCAAACTCATATTCCAAGAACTGGATCTTATACGAATTTTTAATACTTAATCGGCGAAAATTGCAAAATTCGAAAAAATTGTCGATCATTTNTGTCTTAGCTGGTGATAATGCTGTACTATCACTTAGAAGAATTTAGACCTTGCTAATACTTCTTAATATGCAAGTTAAAGTATTTTAAAAATTATACCGGAACGAGACAAATATATACATCCGCGCAAAAGGGATTGATATAACTAGGAAACTCAGCTTCTACGTACTAAAAATAATTTCAGTCAGCAAATCTGGACTTTGTTGGCAGTAACCAATGCTTGGAAAACAGCGATGCTTGAAATAAAGCATAAGGTTAGAACTTTTCAGTCCACTGTCGTATAGCAAGTAACTTTTCCGTAAAAATAATCGTTTACGTTTTTCTGAACATAAATATTAATTTTCATTTTCACTGTTAAAATATTACGTTGAATGATTCATATCAGGAAAGAAAATATGTGGAATGTTTAACATTACATGAGTAGTGTTACGCTTAAATCCATTGTAAAATAAATTGTCAAAATATTTACCGAATTGCACATGTTGATAATTTTAAATAAGTAACTTCTAGGTTATTTTATTCACTTTCTCGTATATAAATTATTAAAATACCTTAATCCATTTAGACAATTTTTTGCATTGCATCTGAATGTATATAAGTATGTATATATGTAAACACGATAACTCAAAACACAAATAGCCGCAGTGATGAAATTCGGTGTATGGTTATTGCACTCAAATAGTACATTTGTATCAACTTGAGCTAAATCTGTCTACTGTAAATGGCACTTAACCTGAATATTTATCGAACCTGTTTCATATAAACTTACATTTTAAATAATAATTATTATCATTATCAATTAATATCATTAAATTTTCGATTCAACTCTATTACTGTTATTATAATATAATTTGTTGAAATCTTATAACATTTAATTTGTCGAAATCTGAACTTAGGAGCAATATATTTTTGACTTTTTGATATACGAATCTTTAAAACGTAATCGGCGAAAATTACAAAATTCGAAAAAATTTTCAATCATTTCAAAAATTTATTTCTTAAGAACTAAAAGTGATTTTTCAAAACGGCTTGTTGCATTAAAAAGAGGATACTTTAGTTAATAATTGGTGATATTTCCACAACGATCCTAAAAGAAATTAATTTTATAGCGAATTTTGAAAGTTATCGATGAAAATTGCAACATCGAAAATTTTATGAAAAATTCTAATATTGTACTCTCAAAAACTAAAAGTTATTTTTCAAAACGGATTGGTTCATTGGAAAGAGGACACTTTCATTAGCATTTTGGGAAATTTTCATACTCATATTCCAAGAAATTGATTCTCTATTGAAACTCCTAAAAGAGATAGTAATTCCTGTGGATGGTGGAGTACTAAGTGATAGGTTTTTAATATCAGGCCGGATTTTAAAAAATGGCCGGATAGTTGCCGGATATCCGTTCTACCACTAGTTTATTGTAGTAACAGTGCTAGTGTTAGTTCTAGTTGTTAATCAGCGCCAGGTTGTTACAAATTTGTATTGAACTAAAACTAGAACTAATACTAGACCTAGAACTAGAAATATTTGTGTTAACCCGAAACTTTCTAGTTCTAGGTGTAGTGTTATTAGTTCTGGTTTTACATTACCACTGTTACTAGCTACCGTCCAATAGTGGCATACAGCATCACAGTCCGGCAAGGACTGAAATTGTTAAAAGAATGTATTCAGAAAGTATTTGTAAATAGNTGTTTCATATAAACTTACATTTTAAATAATAATTATTATCATTATCAATTAATATCATTAAATTTTCGATTCAACTCTATTACTGTTATTATAATATAATTTGTTGAAATCTTATAACATTTAATTTGTCGAAATCTGAACTTAGGAGCAATTTTTGACTTTTTGATATGTTCGTTAAATTTCAAACATTATTATTAAAAATGTAATAAATAATTGTTGGGTAGGTTAATGTATCTTCTGGTAATGACAAGGCTCTATCTTTTTCTATAACTCCTAAGATAGAAACGTATTCTGGTAAAACTTGACATTAAATAAAGTATCCAAATGTATTTTCAGTGCATTTGCCTATTGTCCATAATGAAGGATTGCCTGTTCCAATCTCAAGATCAAGATCTCAATCTCCTGACACTTCGCCTTAGCTCTTTAATCAAAAGAACTGAACGATTTGGTTCGCGATCTAAAACTTTCGAAAGTGTAAGAACGAACTCTTGGTGTTAAGACTGCATCAACGGAACCTTCTAGCTCCAGGGACAAAAATGTCCTGTTTTATATCAAAAGGTACTTCCATCGCTCATTATTTTGACATGCAGAATTCAATGTGCGCCTGTAGAGATGTCAAAGATCTGATGATGCAGCTAGGTGTACAACATAACCTACAGGAGTGACGAATTTTTATTGACCTCCATAAAACGAGCTTGAAAGCAGTACTTCTGCATACTAGCAATACACTCCCATCTTTTTGGGCAACAGCACAGATGATAACTGTGTTTCCATTGTGAATGATTTGTTGAATAGCTACAAGAATATGGGATGAAAAATGTCGCTTATGGAACATTTCGATGATGAGCGACTACTGCTGGGGTCTTGTTAGAGAGAATAGTGGAACAGCTAACAAAAGATAACCGTTGTCGTATTTTGTGAATAATTAAAGCTGAAAATATGTTGCGATCTAATTTAGACATTTTATTGGTATCATGTCTATGTGGTAACTATAGATATAAAATAATATTAAGTTTTAAAACACTGATTATGGATTTCTTGTTTGTTATGTTTCAGCCAATGTTTGTCTACCGTTTTTGATTCTGCATGTATCTAGGAAATGTGACGTGATACACCTGATTTTACCAGTGAACTCATCAGCATTCCAAAATTAGTAAAATCTTCCCATTTACAGAGCACATGCAGAAAAAAAATTTAATTTGTAGCAAAATTCGAAAAAATTGTCGATCATGTCAAAAATTTATTTCTCAAGAACTAAAAGTGATTTTTCAAAACGGCTTGTTACATTAAAAAGAGGATACTTTAATTAATCATTTAATTAATTTTATAGCGAATTTTGAAAATTTTCGATGAAAATTGCAACATCGAAACTTTTATCAAAACTTCATAATCTATTGTTTTCTCAAAAACTAAAAGTTATTTTTTAAAACGGGTTGGTTCATTGGAAAGAGGACACTCTTATTAACACTTTGGGAAATTTTCAAACTCATATTCCAAGAACTGGATCTTATACGAATTTTTAATACTTAATCGGCGAAAATTGCAAAATTCGAAAAAATTGTCGATCATTTCAAAAATTTATTTCTGAAGAACTAAATGTGATTTTGCAAAACGGCTTATTGGATTAAAAAGAGGATACTTTAATTAATAATCGAAAGTGATAACAGCGACACTTCTGTTAGTAATGAATGTGATGATAAATTACAAGCGAAGAGAAGAAAACTAGACAAAACTGCAACAAGAGATTTTATATATCGTATTGGGATTGTTACAATGAGGTTGCTAATGATAAATAAACTTGTATTCAATGAAAAAAGTCCTATTGGGGTTGAACTTGATTATTATCCACAGTGTCCAATTTTTAAAAGAGATACTAATTCCTGTGAATGGTGGAGTACTAAGTGTCGCTGTGTCGGATTTTAAAAAATAGCCGGATAGTTGCCGGATATCCGTTCCACCACTAGTTTATTCTAGTGACAGTGCTAGTGTTGGTTCTAGTTGTTAATCAGCGCCAGGTTGTTACAAATTTGTATTGAACTAAAACTAGAACTAATACTAGACCTAGAACTAGAAATATTTGGGTTAAGCCGAAACTTTGTAGTTCTAGGTGTAGTGTTATTAGTTCTGGTTTTACATTAGCACTGTTACTAGCTACCGTCCAATAGTGGCATACAGCATCACAGTCCTGCAAGGACTGAAATTGTTAAAAGAATGTATTCAGAAAGTATTTGTAAATAGGTTTCTTCAACTTGTAGTTTTCTTTACAGAATCAACAAAATTTAATTTGCACATGAAAGTGATATCGTAACTTCAACGAATGTTTAATATAATCCACAATAGTTAAACATTAAAATATTTCAAAACATAAATTTGTTGTTATACTTTTATTATAAAACAAAAACAAATTAACTTCTTCTTGATATTTTTTTTAAGAATTTTTCGTTGTGATTGGCGTAATTGAAATTCCGTGTATTTTTTAAAACTAATTTCTAAGCAAATAAATTATTATAAACAAACTAATGATTACTAAAATGTACTTCCCATAGTTAGTAATCTCAAACAAACAATTAAACAAGTCAATAGAAAGAAAATATCATTCAACAAAGAAAAATCCCACACATTTTTATTTCATTGGTTAAATAAGTTTATTTTGTAACATACCTAGGCCATTGTTGTCCAGCAAAAATATTCCACCAAGAAGGTCTTTTCTGTCTAACTTCACCTATCGGTGGCGCATTTTCAATAATGCCCTTTTTACGTTTCCTTTCAAATTTAATCGCGTGCCACGATTTTCGTCTGGTTTTCTTTTCGGCATTTTCATTAGAATTTTCTTCGAACCAGTGATCGTCTTCTTCAACGATCCACGGATCTTTTTCATGAACCACGTGTAACACTTGAGAGCTCATATTTTTTTTTGTCTATCTCAAAAGTCACATTACACTTTGTCGCAAAACTAAAGGAAGAATTTTGAATGAAATTTAAATATTAAACGACGACGAAGGAAATAAAGATCGCTAAATGGTGTATAGGTTGGAAACAAATTTATTTAGAATCGTTTCGATCCATTGGACACACACTATTTACTAGAACGTTCATGTCTTACATAAAACGGGGTCTAATTCGTTTTTAAGCACGCAATTATCTTTAAACAATTACTACTAAATGTTGTACGTGTATAAATATTTTCTTTTTTAAATCGATATAAAACAGATTTTAAATGCGATGAGGCACGTGTTGTTTAACGGTATTGTTTTGACAATATTTTGGCAAAACATTCCTCCGGTGATTATGAAATCATCGAAAATATCTGCGTCTTAAAACAATTTTTAAAAATCTTTTATATGTTTTGATATTTCTCTAATAGTAAAATAACTGGTGAAGATTAAATAATGAAGTAGTATTAATCTTGGTAAGTACAATGGCTTTTGTTATGTAAACTTAAATAGTTGAAAATTGTTGCAAATAGAAGTACACACGTCAGGGTCCGTTGAACAGTCGTCATACGAGTATTGTATTCGTGAACAGGTCGCAATTAGGAGGGAGAACGCGTGTTTACGACTGTAGACGCATATATTATATTTTTAAATGCTTAATCCGTTACGGTTGCGCGATAATCGCAACTTGATTGATGATGAAAAAACATTTTTAGTGCGAAAAAACGTAAAGATGTATCAAATTAAAACGCCCAAAAACATTTATCCTTCGTCAAATCTTTAATAAAAGCCGTAATTATTATATACACAGTTTAAAAAGTTAAAAAGAAGAGTTGAAAATTGATTAATTTGAGTTACAAAAATGAATAATAATACCGTATTTTTACAGTATTTTGAGGTCAAACTTTTAAATTTTACATTTAGATGTTAATTTCATAAGAATTTGTGTCTATACTTTATCAAGACCATCAACATTTAACATTTCTTTCTAAAAGCGTTCCATCATATAGAATCAGGAATATTAAAGAGCACTTTCACTACAGTATTCATTTATAAGCACGAACTAAAACTAAAACTAACATTAGCACGAAGAATTAACTTTCTAGGTCTAGTGTTAGCTCTAGTGATAGTGTTAGTATTAGTTCTAGTTTTAGTTAAAGTATTTATTTACTTCTTAAATTGAGGTTCGAAATAGAGACCGTGAAAATTTTGGATATTCTGTCGTTGATCAGAGTATCTTGGATATGCTCTAGATCACCCTCTTCGCCACATTCGCATTGTGGGGTATCTTTAGTTCAAATTTTAAACAAATAGGTGGCGCATAGCGCATGTTTTATTCTCAATCTAGTAACGAGAGCGTAGAACTGGAGTGATACAACATTGAACCATGGAGGTTTTTTGACACATAGCGTACCTAATCCCTTTAATTGAGCTGCTTCTAATTCACTCTTGTTCCCAATGATGGTTTATGTCATCAATATCTTGCTAAAATAATTGTTTTCCATATATTTTTACTGTGTGTACCTCCTCCTGGTGTTCCCTATTCGCCAATTCGTTTAATTTTTTTCATTTCCACTCGCTGCCATATGCACCGGTGTCCACACCAGTCTGATATCAATATCTTTCTGATATGCCAAGTAAAATAGAGTTAAAGCTCTGCTGATATAAGGATGTAATTTCTTTTTAAGGTTTGTGCTCTTAATACGCTCGAGTGTGCTTCAGGAATCACTTTGGGTATTTCTCTTTCCAAAGTTTGTGCAATTGCTCTTACGATGTCGTAAGCCTCCGCAGAAAAAAATAGTTAATTCATCTGGAAAGCGGTAGTATTCTCCAATCTCCAATAAAGGGACATAAATCTCCCATGAAACACTTTTCGGCTCTTGAATATCTATTCGGCCATGTGTTCCTTATGTATCTTCTTACCTACCACACTAATCATTGCACTGTTTGATCTTAAGCAATTATACGAACCGGTGACAAATGTTATCATCGGTACCAGCATTCTGACGTTATATTCCATGGTGTGAACGTCATGCATTTGTTTTCTATATAAGTTTGGGATACCAGGCTTGAGTTTGAGTAGATTTTAGGATCAAAGATCTTAAACATCTTTGCCAACCGCCGTGATATGAAGATTTGCGAAATCCTATCTATTTTGTTAATCACTGGACAATCGATTATACTAAGACTTCTAATCAAAATTGATGTTTCACCTGCTTCAATCGTTAAAGCATTTGTTGGAGAAGATCACAGGGCACTCAGTATAGCTCTATAGGCTTCATAGCACGTTACCTGAAGTTTATTCATCATAATTTTAGGAATCAGCATTAGAACCCACAAACCATATTCAATTCTGCATCTTACTATTTCTCTACAGGGTGTTTTAAAACAACGTTTAAATATTTATAGGGGTAGTACTATAGTCGAAAACAAGTCGAAAAGTCCTAATGAACATGGGTCCGCAAATCAATCGTTTTCGAGATACAGGATGTTCAAATTTTTTGGGACTCTACATTTTTTCTTTTAAACTATAACTACTACAGATTCGATATGAACCGAAATTCTTCTCACACTTGTTTCGTTATTTTCAGCAACTGTATTTAAAATTTGTTCCTCTATTTCTGGTGTACATACGGATCTCTGCCGTCCGGTATAATAAGACCTTTGAACAAAACGTCAAATTAATATATCTTAGCAGATTCTATGTAAGTCAAAGCCTACTCCTTGTAATGGCAAAATTTTGTATATTTTCCCATTTCGAGTTTGCCAACGATTTAATTGGGTTAATACCTCCTTTACATGCCTTAACTATTGTATTGACTTGTTCTTTCCAATTTAGTTTTCCGTTGATATGAAATCCCAAGTACTTCAAGCTCTCTACATACCTCCAAATTAATTAATGTTTTTTTGACGTTTGTGACAGTTAAGTTTTTGAGGTTATGTGAAAACTAAAAGATCTATTTAATTGAGACCTTCAACAATTAACATTTCTTTCTAAAAGCATTCCATCATATATAATCAGGAATATTAAAGAGCACTTTCACTACACTATTCATTTACTTCTTAAATTGAGTTTCGAAATAGAGACCGTGAAAATTTTCGTTTACGACTACTCAAAAATTAATTTTATAGCACCATAATTTTTGTTGAAATCGTTAGTTTTTGATGGTAATAATCATTGAACCTCGTTTTATGAATATATTATACCGAGCTAATTATAAGTATTTAGAGTTATTCAAATTAAAGTTTTTTTTACGTTTCGGACAGTTCAATTTTTGAGGTTATGTGGAAACCAAAATATCTACTTTATCGAGACCTTCAACAATTAACATTTCTTTCTAAAAGCATTCCATCATATACAATCACGAATCTTAAAGAGCACTTTCACTACAGTATTAAAAGATTCTTAAACTGTGTTTCGAAATAGAGACCGTGAAAATTTTCATCTTCGATTACTCAAAAATTAATTTTATAGCAACACAATTTTCGTTGAAAGTTAATTTAATAATGAACCAATTTTTAATTATTGATATTAATAAATATTGAATCTCGTTTTAAAAATGTAGTATTACAGCGGTGGTTATGTTTAAATGATTTGCATTTTGACGTTTTTGACAGTTAACTTTTTGAGGTTATGAGAAAACTTATTACAAATTTCAAAACATGAAATTAACGTTGTAATGGTATCTAATAATTATTTATAATTATAATCGTTAGTAATGATATAAACCAAGTTTTTAATTAAATTTAAATTAATTTTAATTTACTATGGTGTTGTTTATTTATTTACTGTTGGCATTCCTGGCGATTCATCAACAACATATTAATTATTTGACGTTTTACATATATATTTTATAGGGTGAATTTTAAACAATTAATGGAAAATTATGAAGCTTTACTCAAATAGCTACTGGAAACACCATAAATATACGAGATAAGGTGATAAGAAACGTTGATCTTAGGTTAAGTGTATTTTCTGTTGTCGTTGTAAATTAAATAAATAGAAAATCTGGGTCAACGACTAAGGTCATTTTGATATACAACATTCTATTGTAATAAAATATGTTAATCTTTAAGATTTTTGGATAAACAAATTTATTTTTAACGAGAAATTCTTTCCAGAACTAGTTCATACCAGATTCTTTTTTAAAATTCTATTTAAATAACAATTGAGAAATTATTTCTTTTAAACTTTCAACATTGAAATTCATAATTATAATTTAAGCAACAATTTGAAATAATTGTGGCAATTAGTGTTTGTCAAAAAAAAATGTTGCCGCAAAGAAAAGAATGTCACAAGTTACATTTAGTTAATACTGCTTCAAATTGCATATACACATAGATGAAATGATAATTTAAATCAATTTGTTAATAATAATTAACAAACAATTCTCAAAAAAAGATTGTGATTCATAATCTTATTAAATTCCTAAACAACAAAAAAACTTTTTATGAAATACAACGATAAAATAACCTTAAACTGAATGATTCACTCTCCATATCAATTCTCGGTCAGATTAAACCCGGATAAAGATTTTAAATGCCTAATCACCATTTAGCGATTCTTTTTATTTCCTTTTTTAATTTTATAATATATTATGCATATTATTAATTTCTTTCCTGGTTTAAATATAATTTTCTTGACTTACAAAAAAAATTGCAAACAACTATTTTATTCCTCCTCTCTTTTAAGTCCTGCGTAACGGCAACTTTCACAAGGTGTACAGCAGGACGCGGCGCCCCGCACACTCTCACCGCGCGACACACAACAAAAAGAAAATTCACAAAACAAAAAAAGAATTTAAAGAATTTTTGATTCGAAACCCAATAAAAGAATTTTGAAAATTTGAAATAATTTTCGCGCACAATTTTAGGTAAATTTTTGATTACTATTTTTGTGATACGAGTTGGTTAAAGTCGTTCGTTGAAGAAGAAGCACGTTCCAACTAGCTCTTTTATAAAGGTGGTGGTAGAAACGCGAGTCGACGACGATGGTTTCGACTCGACCAAGTCGCATGGCAAACTGTTTTCCGCGACGCCGACGACGGTGCACTAAACTCGGAGCCAACAACGACGACGGCTCCACTACTACCCAACAACACAGACACCCAGACAACAACCAAGCCCCCCTGAGACATTCGTTTCTTAAGAGAAATGTGTATAGTATACTATAAGAATCATTTTGGATACAGTGAAACTCAAAAGTAAAAGTAAATAAAATTCATTGAGATTATTAAAAAATATAAATCAAAATTATCGTGCTTTTTCTGCATTACTTCATATCTTGTGGAAGATTTGCAAAATCATATTAAAATTTTTGTTCTTCTCAAAATTTTTACACATCTATGTTGAAGTTATCTTAAAATCGTTAGTTACTATATTGGGTGTTAGTTACTAACTGTTTTGTTATGCTTAGTTTGGTGCCAAATCTAAAATCTTTCTTGGGATTGTGCCGAAAATGAGAGTGAGATTATGTAAATGTTACGAGATGAAAATGACGTTATCCTTGAGCTACTAGACGCGCAAAATGATGATATTTTTAATTACTGAGTCTTACATAACATTAACATCATATGTAGAGTAAATTAAAAACTTCCATAGCAAGGATTCATCCAAGTAACTTAGTGTAGGAACATTTCTATGCTTGAATTTCTATACTTACTAATTAATATCATTATTAAATGATAAATAAGTGAAGTGGTTGTTAGGAAGGTTGTTGTGAGCAAAGTAACATTAGAAACACCTTTAGCTTAAAATTGGTTAAAAGCCACAATAAAAATTACCTTCAATGCAATTGTAAGAGAAACATTAACACGTAAAAAGATATAAATAAACTTTGATAAATGTTGTGCAAAACATACGGCAAGGTTTTGCACAAGCTAACTACTCAACAAACAAGTACAGAGCCTAAAAAGTGCATCTTTTGAAAAATATAATTACGACTTTAAGCTATTATGAAGCCTATTTTAGAACTATATCTGGAGTGTCTGCAAAGAGTCGATGGAAGAAGCATTCGAGGAAGCTGTAGAACAAAGCCCAGTAGAGCCTAACACAAAGGACTTTGAAATAGATGATCTTCTCTGACAACTGTAAAAAGTATTGATGCTTATATTTTGTGCTTGTCAAAGAAAACCCGACGATACAAGAGATGTTATCTTTATTTTTTTGGAGTAAGAGACGCAATGGAGGTGTCCTGAGGTGAATGCAAGGTATACCAAGTAGTATGTGATGAAAAGTTATGAGATGCAACTGTCCTTGGTGGCAGAAATGTTTTGACACCGACCGCGATCAAGCAATTTCAAAACTATTATGGCTTGGTAACTAAAAAAAAACAGATTTTGTAGAAAAGATAAGAACAGGCTTTGTACTTTCAACTAACACAAAATCAACGTGTGAGTTTTGTCTATAGAGTGAACCTTCAATAATGTAGCCAAACACAAAAACGAAGGTTATGAGCACAAAGTTTTATTTGCATAAAATAATACTGATTTTTATCAAATCAATTTATCCAAGCCTGAAAAAATGTTTGAAAAGTAGAACTCAAAATATCATTGTGTCCTTTAATAATCCAGTTAGGACACATATACCAAAACGAGGTTTTGATAAACAGAAGCTTATGAAGCTGTAAGAAGGTCTGATGGTCACATAGGGAAATGCATAATTGGAAAAAATTTAAAGCAAAAAAAAAACTTTCATAAAACTATGAAGGTGTTAGATGCCAAACGCTATAAAAACGAATGCTAAACTGGCAAAAAAATCAGGCAGTGTTCAGGTTCATTCAAAAGACAGCTGAAAGGTATTATTTAGAAAGCCCTTAGAAAACTAGAGAAATGTATTCAAAGAATACAATAATAACGGAAGATATTCGTGAAATTAAATTCCAGATATATTTCAATAACACCATTGAAGCACTTAGAGTAGGTTTTTGTGCATTAACTAAGTGCATATTGGATGTAATGTCAGCGTATTTTTCTTATGATGTCAACAAACATGTCAAAATGGTGAGACAGGTCTTAGAAAATTCAATTTCCACCTCCGCCAAACAGTGCAAGTAAAACATTAAATGTTAATTAAACAAAAATGTTTCAAAACAGAACAAATTAAGAAGTTGGTACCTAAAATTCTTGAAGTAGACGGCAAAGAAATCTGCTTCCACTATAAATTACAATTAATAACGATGTTTTCACTTGGAAAATCCAATTCTCTATACACAGATAAAATTTTATATAGATTGGAAATGAAAACATGGTAGAGCGTCATATTCAGGATAGATACGAAAAAATATGCCAAAGCTTGGCTATGAGCCAGTAAACAAAAGAAACACAGCCCGTCTCTTTTCTGACAACCATTTTCTTGTAGGAAATTATAAGTGTAAGTGAAGAATTGATTCCATTTTGGTACAACTGAATTGAAACTTGTTTATTGACTCGACAAATTTATACGTTACGGAATACAGTTGGTATTTTATGCCTTAAACTCCATATCACCAATTGGCCAGCTATCAGAGGAAGGTCAAATAGTTCGGAATAACGATAACAAATACTATCATAAATTCAATAGTCGTTAATTTTAAATAGTGCGAACAATGAAAGCTATTGTGGATATGCTTATTTCTTCGAACCCATTGATCTATTGCTACTCTGTTTTGCATTGACAAATTACTTTTGGTCTATTAAAAGTTCTAACCAACATCGCAACATATTAGGTCAATTATTTATTACATTTACAGTTATATCCAAATATGCGAGCTATGTATAAAATTTAAGGAAATTAAAGAAAAATAAATTGAAATCATAAACAAATTTGTTGGTTATAAATAAATACTAACACATATCCTTACAAACCTATATTTTTATATTTATATTCCACTGAGTCATAAAAAATGAAATTTAATTTAGATATCCATGTTAATATTATTCCAAGATAAGATAGTTTATTGCGTAATGAAAAATAACAAGCAAAGAGGAAATAAAATTTAAATTTGTACATTAACATTAAGGCCATATCAAATAATTATTATTTTTACAAAAAAAGTTAAATACTATGGATCAATATTGAAATGCTGATAATCAGAAACCTAGAGATCATTAACACTATTTTATAAACTTGAACCACATATTTGTTCAAACATTTCGGAAATGGCAGGAAAAATGTTTATTATTGTAGATTCCTGCTACCAAAATTAGTGAGGAGGTAATTTACTATATTTGAACTTGTTTTACAGTTGCTATTATTTTTGGGTAACATTTTTGAGTAGCTGAGTGGTGCTCATCTTCAGGGATATTTAATAATCAACACCCAATTAATTCCATATAAATCCTAATCCTTATAAAGAAGCGCCGACGACTGTTTATAATTTCGTGCTACTTTCTAATGTGTATTTCAAAAACTAGAAGAAATTTTTCGAAAGTCGTACTTTTGTTGAAAATTTCATCTTTTTATTAAACAAATACTATCGATTTTGTTGTGTGCTTTTAATTCTTTGTTACAACATTAACGATATATAGCTATATATAGTTAAAAATGAGTTTGGAGAAAAGCTTTCGATTAAATCGAGAATACCGTAAGACAACAATTTGGTATTAACGAGGACAACAAAAATTACAAAGAAAGGCCTTAAGCATAATTACGAAGTTAAGAATAATCCAACTACATACCAACAATCTGTTACATAACATAAGAAACGAAGAGTTGTATAACAAAATAAATATCTCGCCAATTACCGAAAGACACATAGGCGGAAATTTTTCAACAAGCACAAAGCATATGTATAATTGAAAATATGAGTGTAATTACGCAAAGCGATGCGATAATAATTGGACAATAACTGGCACTATTTTTTCAAATGTATCTTAAGTAATGTTTCGGGATAAATCTGGTTATTTGACATAGTGACAATTTTTAGCGTCTGGATATATGGCTTCCAAGTGTTATAAATTTGTAGCCAATGTTGCCTCGGTTATGAGATGATGAGACGATATGTTATTAAGATGACTTTCGAAAAACTGAAAGTGGCACCATGCAGCCAATAATGAAAACAATGTAATCAGTAACGTTTGGTTCAACCGATTTAAAACTTGACGCAATTGACACAGCATTGCGAATAGTGTAAATGTGACAGGGTCCATGAAGTATTGAAAACTATGATTGAGGAAGGTAATCACCTCAATCAAAAAATGAAACTGAAGAAAATGCCTAAAAGATTATGTGTAACGCTGATGACTATAAATTTTTAAAGTCGCTCTTAATTTCTTATTCCGAAAACCCCAGAATTTTACAAAATTAAGAAAATGTAGAATTAGGTTGCCAGTAATTTAGAAATTATATGGTTTTTCTAATTGTAATTGTTTTTCTAACAGTTAAAATAATAGTGACAACAAATTTAACAATTCACAGCTGTGTCATGTTCAATTCAACAGAATATACTTACATATATAAATTGAAAATAAAAAATTACTAAAATTTTTAATTTATACGGGACTAGTTTCGAGCTATTAAGCTCATCCTCAGCCGAATTGTCAAAATCAGTATTAAAACAGGAAAATCAATATTTGAAACATTTGCAAAATCCTTACATTACATGAATAAAATGTTTACTATTTATAATTAGAATTAAATCTATATGTATAAATCCGATATAAATCCGAATAAGATTTTAACTCTTGTTGTTTGTGCGTTTGATGTGTCGTTTAATTTTAATTCAATCAACTCTTTCAACGGTACTCCTGTTAACGCCTATCTGATGGCAGTCTTGGCGCTAATGTTAAATTTAATTACTTTTTTGATAGATTTTTATCTACATTTCATGGAGCATATCCCCTAGTCAGAAGACGGGTTAAAGACATGCAGGAATAAAGTGGTTTGACAGCACATTGCGTCAGCTAACAGAAAATTATGACCTGGCTTCAAATCTTTTTAACCGTTTTAAATCAGATAATTTTAGAGAAATGAAAGATATTTTTTTAAATGGAAACAACCACTAATTATTCGATTATTAAATTCGCTATTTTTTTCTGATTACAAAAATATGGGGTTAGATAGGTCTA